GTAATATATATTTTAGTTCCTTTGAGCCCCACAAAAATTTTTATTTTTCCCATGAGAAAGCGAAGGTTATGGGAGAACCCACCACCTAAAATGGTGAAGCCATGCTACAGGAAAAGTCAAGCAATTCTGGCCTGCTAAGAACAAAATGAGAGAGAGAAATATGGCAAAATCACTACATAGTCTTTGAGTAGTCACAAATTTGCTAACTAAATTGAGATGCCATCCATGAATCAATATTAATCTCATAGAAAAAGAATCAGCTATATGACGTTAAGTATCATTAACAAAGTTAACCATCAATAACAGGAAAAAATTGAATTTCTTTCTGATGAGTTGATCTAACCCTATTCTTGATAGGATCAGCCCATATTTTAAGTAAGATTTATTGAGAGCTAAGTCTATAATTTCTAAAATGGATAGCCTTTTTTGTTTTTTGTTTTGTTCTATTTTTAACAGTGACAAAAAGTTGCATTGTACCTTTCCAAACCAGATAACTTCTCATATATAATTAAAGAATTATATGGAATCTTAATTGTAATTTAAAGTGTGATTACTGAACAAGTATTAGTCATGCTAAAAATATAAAGGATTTTCTTAATGTCCATCAGAGAAAATAATTTATTCTTGATATTGACCCCATCTGACTTAACTGCTCAGGATTTTTCCATGTGAGCTGTGCTCTATAGCATTTCTAAAAGAAAGAATATGAATAAACCTGGTGAGCAGCAAAATAGAAGCAGTTTTCGTGAAACCTGATTTGTGTTAACATAGAATCAAATGTGATCCTCAGTTAAATATTTATGCTTCCTTTTATTATTATGAACCTGTTCTTAACATGGGCTTGGTTTTGTTTGTTTCCCTCTTCATTTCTGTGAAATGCAGAAGGAAAGGGTTTGTTTTTGACATTTATAATACCCCCACTAACTATTCTTACACATCTGGCTTCCAATGGAGAGCCCCTGACATCGCAGGGAACGGTGATCAAAATTCCACACACTAGCTTCAAGCTGGGGGCTCGTAGCTACTGCAGCATTGAAAGGGGATCTTTTCCTGGCTTCTTTAAAATGAGCATGGTGATGGGATGGTTTAAGGGAAGAACACCTCTCAAATCACATGACCACTGCTGCGCTTCCGTGTGTCCTGCTTTCTTCATACAGCTTGGCACTACATTTTTTTCCCTGTATCTTAGTGGACTTCTCTGTGTATGAGTGGGCTGGGGCTGGGGGTATATATGAATGGTCATACATTATGCATGCATCTTTCACCATTAGAATGATGTGCCTTCCCTTATATATCACAAATTATAATCACATTTAATCTTCTGTGTTCTGAGAGATTGAGATGTTTCTCTTTTTGGTGTGACATTATGTTGGTGTCTTTTGACATTTTTACCCTCAGTTGTTGTTCATGTTGCATTAAATGTAAGTTAAAATGTTCTCCCCTAAGAGTTAGCTTTTCATGTTGGGCTGAAAAAGTCTTCATTTTTGTGTAGCAATTCATGTTATTATAACCTATGGCTTTCAATTATACCTCCCATAATAAAGAGCTGACTTTAAACACTGTGGTATTCTTGTTATGACCTAAGCATAAGGTAAGTGATTTCTCTGTCTCTAAAGATTGTGGCTGTTTGTTAAAATTTTCTCAGCTTCTTAAAGGCATTTTCGCTTTTGTTCCTTGCCATTTATTATGTGCTGTCCCTCCTTTTGTTTCCTGTTTCATATTTTAAGATTTCTTAGCAGACAATATGATCTTCAGAAAAAAATATACTACACATGTAAACACATGCTTAAATAAATGATTTGATGTCTCAAAGCTATCTTAATTAATAAATGAATACCTGTGTGTTTAGTCTCATTTTTTTTCGTTTCCTCCATTTACTTTAATAAAATATACTGTTTCTACATGTTTTAGTTTTGATTCCTATATGGAAAGGAAAACTATCTATACTATAAAATCAGTCAGATGTTAACTGTAGTAAAATAACATGACTCAATAAAATTAAGTAGTTAGGTGATCCAATTATATACCCTTCATTCAACCGCTCTCATTTTTTTTCTACTGAGTAATTTAATACTCATCCATAGTCTTAGTTTAATTTTGTTTCTCACACATTCCTTTTTCCCTACTGTTTGAAAGCAGAGTAACAAAATAAAAATTAAATTAAATTATGTTCTAAACTTTATCCTTTAAGTTATATTACATTGTATTAGGCAGAATCCTTTATATTGAGATTTTATTAAAATTAAGTAAAATATTATAAATATGATCAGCTATATAGCACACTGCCATTCAATACATGCACAATAAAGTTTAAAAGCATTGCCTTCCTCTTTTTTTTAAATATACACATTCAGGATCACTAAAGTAAAGGAAGTCTTGTGATTACTGATTTTATTTTTATTTCCCTCACATCTGGTTCAAACAGCCAATGTAACATAAATGGGAAAACAATTACACTACACCTTGGTAAATGCTCATATTTCATAGAACTGAATTATTTTCATTAGTCAAGTATCTCCTCTAAAGCTATTTGAAATACATGATTTTACACTGAGGTATAACAAAGCAACATGGGTTTCCTTATTTGTGTTACAAATGATTGTGGGTTTTTTTGTTAATTTAAGCCACTTACCAAAAGAGAAAACATGTTTTGGTTTGCTTTGGTTTGTTTAGAAAATATCAGATAGTTTTTCACCACCATTCCCATTAATATACATAATCTAGTATATATAATAGACATTATGTAAATCTGTTGACCATTTATGAGACAGTTTGAACTACTCATCTGAACTGCACTGTTCATTGTAAATCTCTTGTTTCTATCCATACACTAGCTCCACTCTAGATTGGAAGGGCTTAAAGATGAACTCTGGAGGAATAGAGGCTACGACTTAAGAGTAACTATTACTGACCAAAGGAGCTATTTTCCATTCGCAAACATTGCTTTGCGCTATGGGTTTGGACTCCTTCACATCTTGTTTCACATCTTGTTGAAGACTTCCTTGACTTCCATTTGACTTCTTTGAACTGTTTTTGTCTTTCTACATTCTCCTCTCTCTCTCCCAGATTTTCTTCCCATGCTTTTAGCTTTCTCTTGTGTTCGAGTCACTTTTTCAAATGTAGTTTCTCTCTTGATTAAGCGTGTCTATTAATTTGGCTGTTGGTATATGTTTCTTTTCTCCTTTAAGGCTGTAGTGATATAGTTACACTTATTTTCATTCCATGTTATGCAAACTTCTGTATTTATTTTGCAGAAAGTTCATTCTTCTTGATGTGAGCTTTCAATAAGAAATAGTAGAACATTTTCCATTTACATATGTAAGCCCATGCCTTTAGATTTTTGTCCTGTAGATTTTCTTTCTTACTTTCTATGCCTTTTCTTTTCCTTAGTCTCATATCTTCCTCCCTATATTATTTTCTTTGAGCTGTTACTAATTTACTTCCCATTTGGTCCAGAATTGTTTTTCAATAAGATGTCCAAGTAAAAGAATGTGAGAATTTTACATTCTCAATTAGGGTCTTCACTGTACTGTACTTCAGCTACTCAAGCAATCTGGGCCAAAAGAGAATAGCTAACATTTGTATTGTTTTGTTTGTTTGTTTTTGCCTCCTTTTGGGCTGTGTGTGTGTGTGTGTGTGTGTGTGTGTATATGTGTGTGTCTTTAGATTTATTTATTTGTCATTATTCTGCTATTTGTTTTCCCTTGTCTGTTCATGACATTTTTGTTATTTCTTTAAACATTAACAGTTGCTTTTTTCAGGGAAGGACAACCATAACCCACCCTAAGTTACAACATTCCTTTCATAAATTTTTTCATAAAATAGTAGATTGTGTTAAGATATAGAAATTAATTTGTTGTGTATATATCCATTTGGGGCAAGCTGCTGTAGAGTGGGAGGAAGAGGTGTGGACCTTGAATACAGTTATGTCTGAAATTAACAGCATAGTAATCCAGCATAGCTGTTGAATAAAGCAGTTTTGTAACCTTCAAAAGAATGCTCCACTTTGACCTAAATATTTGAATCAAAGTGTAAGGCCTTCTAATTGATAATTCTAAACACAGTAAAAACCAGTAAATAGAGCTCAATTTAATTGCTTGCCAACAAAAACATCCATCATAGCCAATATTATTATAATCAATATTACAAAGGTTATTATCAAAAGGAAATGTTGTATATAAGGAATTCTGTCTTCACTTACTAATGTATATATAGTAAAAATGACTAGAACATTTTATCATAACTTTACTTAGATTTCATTATTATTGTAGTCAAGACATATGCAGAATAACTTAAGATTGAGGATTGGTATTCACAACTGAATATGCAGTATATTGAATTTTTCCATATGTAGTCATCCTTCAGTACCATGGCAAGTCAATTTCAAAACCTGTGAATACCAAAATCTAAAGGTACCTAAGTTCTTTGTTTAATAAAATGGCATATACTATTTACATATAGCCTAAGTACATCCATCCATATACTTTATTTCATATCTAATAGGCAAGAGCTCTACCATTGAGCCACACCTCTATTTTATGACCTAATGTAATATGAATGCTATGTGAATATTTGCTATACTGTATTCTGTAAGGAATAATGACAAGGAATAAAAGGCCCCACATTCAGAACAGATGCAAATGGTGGTGCTAGTGTTTTGTGTTGTTGTTGCTCTTTTCTTCTTTTCTGATCCACAGTTTGTTGAATCTGCAGATATGAAACACACAAATATAGAGGACTGCTCTCACATACCTATAAATTGCCTTGGGTATTATCTCTGTCCAATTTATAATAATGTGCCTGAAATATTTCTCTAGAACTCAGTCTTTTATTAAGTAAAGAAAAGGTATATGAGAAAAATGTAATATACTTTTACTAACATGATACTTGAGATAAATAAAACCTTTTCTCCTAGACCTCAGGAGCTTGCCCATTAAACATACGTATTTGTAAATCCATGTTATGAGCCCTACATTACTGAGTTTATGCTCTTTCTGCAGGTCCAGTCCAGGTGCAGCAGCAAGGAGAACATTCTCAGAGCAAGTAAGTATTCATTTCAGGTGGGCTGCTGAACTACAAACTGAAGTTAAACAGAAAAAAATGAAGAACAGCAATGGAGAACGTCTATATGAAGAATATGAATAGTATAAAAATCCATCTTCTGAAAATATTACTTAATATAATTATTTCCCTTAATCTAATTATTTTTTCAAACTGACAGAAATTGAATTTGTTTGTATTAGGGTAGAAATGAACTCCCTTGTGATGCTAAGATGAGGAGCCTCCTGTTTTCATTGCCTCATTGCCACAAAGGTATTAAACAACAGAGTACATTAAAATAACACTATAAATTCATGAAACGAGGAGAGAGAATGAGAGAGAGAACACAAAAGTGAAAGCAAACTAGGCATGCATGGCTGTAGTCCTAGCACTTGAAGATGAAGCAGGAAGATCCTACATTTCAAGCCAACCTGAGTTATATAATGAGATCATATCTTAAAGGTGAGAGGATATAGCAGTCATCTTGTGAATATGAATTCACTAAGATTTTTGCTTTCATGCTCAAAATGTTTTAGAACATAGTTCCCTGAACCAAGATGAAGAATCCTTAATGTAATCTTTTGATTCAGTCACTACAGTATTAACTTGAAAGTCATTGAACTTTGTATATTTAGTCATGTTTCTTTTAAGCATTTTATTTTTATTTTATGTGGATGAGTGTTTTGTCTGCATGTATGTAAGTGAACCTTGTGTGTGCAGTGCCTGTGGAGGGCAGAAGAGGGCATTGTATCTCCTAGAACTAGAGTTACAGATGTTATGAGCCACCATGTGGGTTCTGGGAACTGAACCCCAGTCCAAGAGCAGCAAGTGCTCTTAAATGGTCTTACTCACTATCTCTCCAAACTACATTTTCATATTTTATAAAAAGAAACTCTAAATAGCTTTTCTGTACTTAAATCCTTAAAGTGATGTCACATTACATGATTTTCCATAAAAGCTTTGGGATCTTGAGATATATGGTATATAAATGCTAATTCTTTTATTATTGTTCTCTTGTCATTTTAATAGTTTAATATCACCATCTGATCTTCCTGGTGGTTTTCATTAGAAGTAGACATGGAACATACTGAAATAGGTCAACTAGGTACCCACACTAATTAGAGTTTTAGTAAATGAGATGGTTTACTCTTCCAATAAAATGTCAGTATTATTTAACAATCAAAGCATACTTGGAGGACTGGGAGATAGCTCAGTGGGTAAAAGCACTGAGTTCAAATGCCCAGGATGGGGGCAGGGGGAGGAGTAGGGCATGAGCTTGTGCACACCCGTAACCCCGCACTGTGGGGAATGGAGACAAAAGGATTGCTGGGGCTTAGTAACTGGCTAGCCAGCCTAAAAACAAACAACAACAACAAGAAAAAATAAATGAATAGATAGATAGATGATTGATAGATAGATAGATAGATAGATAGATAGATAGATAGATAGATAGATAAAAGGTTGGAGAAAAGAACCTTTCTCAAGGGAATAAGATGAAAAGAGTGATAAACTAAGACACCCAATGTATTCAGGACTCCTGCACATGTATGGGTGAAAACACCACCACACACCCATATAACACACAAAATAGTAATAATAATAATAATAATAATAATTGATCACCGATAATACTAGCACTAGGGAGAGTATGGCAGAATTGAGAGATAGAAGCCATTCTAGGCTATAGAGTTTGGGGAAAAAAGTGAGAGGAGTATTTGAGGGCTTTACATAAGTAAAAGTTCATATTTATTTTACATAGTATAAATATTCCCTATTTTTATGTTCTAAATCTGTTAAGTTCACTCAAAACCCTTAAGCATTTGTTTCACTAAGAACTTTAGAGGTATTGCAGGCTAGTAGCACAGTGGAAAACTGCTTCCCTAGTGTTAATGAGACCCAGCTTTCAATCTCCAACACTGATAAAGAAATAAATAAATAAATAAGTTCTAGCAGACTCTTTAGATTGCATACCTTCACAACTTTCCATATGTGACTCTAAGCATGTTTTTTTTAAGTAATGAGATATAAAATCCCATAATCCTTAAGACCTAAGTTTGAGAAACCTAAGGATCAGCCGTGGTAATTGAATATTCACTAAAATAAAACAATACAGATAAGTGAACTTTAAAATTATGTTTTATCATGAATTATAAATAATTTTCATTTATTCTTGGTCTTGAAATTAATATAGGTGGGAAGTGAAGTATGCATACTGGGAATGAGTATGGTGGTTAAAGGTCAGAAGAGGGCATCAGGTCCCCTAGAACTGGAGTGACAGTTGTTAGTTGCCATGTGGGTTCTAGGAATTGAACCTGGGTCCTCTGCAAGAAAAAGTGTTCTTAACCTCTGAGCCATCTCTCCAATATATCATTTTTACGTAAACTATTACTATTTTTGAAAATTCTTTTGTGATAACACTGGATTTTCCTTGGTCAAAGTGACTAATCCTTCTTGTATACTCTTTTTCTTTCTACTTAATCATTCTTTAACCTATTTACTAAATTAGCTGTCCTCAGGAAAGTATTTCCATATATAAAAATTAGTTGACACAATATGTTAGTGTATCCTAGAGAGAAGAGAAAAGTAGAACTTATAACTAATCTAAATTGCCTAAGGAAGCGATAACTTTATCAAAGGAAGCAGTAACATTTTTCTCTCAATTCTTAAAATTAAAATATCATCAAAACAGTTAACTAAAGTTGAATTAGGCATAGTGTTCATAGTCCCAACACTTAGGAAGCAGAACCAGAGAAGCCAAGTTGAGCTGAGGTCACCCTGGGTTATATACCAAGACTATCTAAATAAATAAATAAATTACAAAACTAAAAGCTGAATTTGTTCTCATTATAAAAATGGAAAATGCCTCTTACAAAGTTTTAATGTTAGAACCTCAAGGGGGAAAGGACAAAGTCAGAGTACGTAGGAGATTTTGACATTTGGCCTAAAGGAGATCTTTTAATAAGAGGGCTTAATCAGAGTAGCGGAAAGAATTATAACATAATTGCTTAGTACTGAAGGACAGCAAGGGAGTTACAGCCTTGCTAAACTGTCTTTTGATACTTTCTGTTTAAGAGTTGATGGCTTGTTCCAAAATGTTCTAGAATGAACAATAGGGTTATTGGCAATGTTTATCTTTACGGGAAGGTGTATTTATTTTTAATATGTTTTTATTGAATTTTTGTGTATTTCATACACATCTTAGTCCTCTTTTACCCCCTTCCCCATCAGCACCTTCCCATAACCACCCTCTCTGGATTTCATGCATTCTCTCATTTATGTTAAGATCTATTGAGTCAAGTTAGTGTTCCCTAACGTCCCTGGATAAAAGTGCCACAACTGCCCCAATACAGTTTGTTGTGCCTGTCATTGTTGTGGTTATTAGGCCTTAAAGCTGGGGTTGGATGATGTTCTCCCTTAGCAGCTTGCATAGTGCTCTCCAAAACTATGAGAGCTAACCTTCAGGGAGGTGACTTCCAGGTCAGTTCCACCTCCATTGCTCCAAGTCCTGTCTCCAAAGTATGTCTTGTCTTCAGCAATAGAATTTTATCTTCAAAGGTTGTGGCAATAGCCTATGTAATTTGGGGAATCTCTTGGACTACCCTGGCCAACAACTCAAAAGGAGGATCCTCCTTTCTGGCACTGTTTCTTTAAAATTCTTTTTTTATTATTTAATGTGTAGATGTGTATTGCATGCATGTATGTAAGTGCACTCTTGTCATGCAATGCCCACGGAGATCAGAAGAAGGTATCAGATCCCCTTTAACTTGAGTTAGCTGCCATGTGGGTGCTGTCTTCTGCAAGAACAGCCTGTGCTCTTAACTGCCAAGCCATCTCTCCAGCCCCACACTGTTTCTTGTTATGTAGCCTTCAGCTATGCACATGGACTCATGTAGAGATAATGTATGTGTAATTTTTCACTAGGTTTTTGAACTAATATGATTTCCGCTATTTTTTTACACCAGCTGGGAATTTTTTCTCTCTCCTCTCTCTCCCTGTCTAACTGTCCCTCCTCCCTCCCCAGTTAAAATACCCCCATTTTCCCTATTTCTCACTAGATAATACCTATCTCCTATGGTCCCCCCATCTTGAGCTCCTTCTTCCCCTTTGCTCCCATAGTTACTTGTATAACCCTCCCTCTCCTGCTCCCATTTAAATACCTCCATTTTACCCAATTTCCTTTTAGTAACACCTGTCCCTTACTGTTCTGTCTCAGGTTCAGGAAGGTGTATTTATAAAGATAGTAAATAGCAATATTATGCTCATGAAGAGGGTCATTCTACTGCTTGAACTGAAGGTAGCCTTGACATTCAGGGATATGATAAGGCCATACTTTTCCTCTGCTTGAAGTATCACAATAGTATGTCAGGCATCTAAGAGAAGCTGTGTCAAGTTTTTCTGTTTTATTGTTGTATGGTCGTTTGATTTATTTATTGAGTCATTTGATGCTGCAACAACTGTATATCAACATTTAGGATTCTGGAGATCAGATATATGAACAATGCTACACATATGTGAAAAGATTATAATCAGAATTTATTGTCTTTCTCTCAGTCAGGAGCCAAAGTGTCTAAATTAAGCTTAAAAATGATATCTATATTCAATCTAAACAGCCTATAAAATAAGAAAACTGGTTATTAGTCAAATTGCTTAATTCATTGGTTTCTTTGTTTCGAGGATCTTTTAAGTAATATCAAAAATTCCAGAGGAACTTAAGAAAATTCTACAGGAATGTAAGAACAACATGCTTAACCCTAAGGCAGTATATATTATTTCTTTTTTTCCTTTATTTTTACTGAATTTTTGTGTATTTCATACAGAACATCTCAAACAATCTTAATCATCTTTATACCCCCATCCCTACCAACAAGCCCCCAAAGCCCCCCCCCCACCACTGGAACACATATACTCTGTCATCTGTGTTAAGGCCACTGTGTCAAGTCGGTGTCCCAGACATTTTTTCTTAAGGGATCACTGCTTTTCCAAACTTATGAAACTTTCAAGTG